GAGTAAATCATAGAAGGTCTGGAATCTATTGCTGAAGACTATCTTGAATTTGTTGAGCTTGTCAGTATCCCGAAGAATAGCCGTATTAAACTTTTGTCCGCCCCGTTGTCCAGTGCCTCTTGAGTTTCAATTTCATCTTGGCGACCAGCAAGTGATGATCTGATGCTATATCAGCTCCCCTCTTGGTTCTCACGTCCTCCATTGTCCTCCTGAACTTTTTGTTGATGCAGATATGGTCGATTTGGTTTTGTGTAGTGTGATCCGGTGAAGTCCATGTGGTTTTGTGTATGCGTTTATGTGGGAATATAGTCCCGCCTATGACCAGTTTATTGAAAGCACATAGGTTTGCGAACCTCTCACCATTTTCGTTGCTTTCTTCCAGTCGTGTCGTCCCATTATCTCATCATATCCGGTGTTGTCCATTCCAACCTTCGCATTTAGGTCTCCTATCAGAATGGTTCTTTTGCCGGGCAGTTCTCAATGATTGATTGCAACCATGAGTCGCCATAACTCTACTAAATGAAGACCTTCCAACTCCCAGGACAGAATTTAAATGGTGTGAATTATTTTTTCTGGTCAGCGTTTTTTAGCGAGTTAGATTTCCTAGGGGTGTGGTCGCTTATCCCATGCGAACACACCCTGACTGAAAGCTCTCAGTCGCGTGCCCGCTCCAGATCACGAGTGGGTACATCGTGTTACGTGTCCCTTGCAACTACTGACCAGCTTAGACCAAACGCTTCTCGACATATCGATAGCCTTCCAAATGTATTTTCGGACCTGTTCATTTCTTACTTCTGAATCGACCGATTGAGTATACTTCGATTATAAAGATGTTACGTTTAAGGGTGTTGTGAAATTCCGAATACATGTGGCATATTTATTGTTGCCTAGCGATTAAGTCAGTACTCTGATTATTAGTTCAACAGTGTAGTTGTGTTTCATATCTCATAGTTGATGATAAGTTAGGTGACCAGTAGTGATTACTTTCAAACATATTTTGCTAGGTGACTTAAAGAACAATAATTTTCGCACGAAAACTAGATCACACTCGTTATCCTTCAAGAAATCACCTTACATCATACATCCATTCCATCATTTAGTCCAGTAGTTAGCCAAAGCAAGGGTTTTGATGAACCTTTTGACTGATAGACGAACAGGTTTACTAAATGAATCAACTCTGACGCTCATTCTGAACGATTTTGAAAAACACCAAGATAACCTCAGATCCACGTGAACTGCACGGAATAATCCGTGATGCATGCACTTTTGATAGGTTATTAGATAGTTTGAATTTTTACAACGCTGCAAATCGCGGTCATTGTTATATTCCAATCTATATTTTACGCTTACTTTTGAAGACTAAAGTATTTCAGTGATTTTTCCTTCTTATTCTGAGCAGCGCGTTTTCTAAAAGGACAGTGTTATTGTTTCTCGTTGAGTTACTTAACTGTTTTGATCGTAAATTACGCATCGAAACTACTGTTTACACTTTAATTGAATCTACTCCAGTTAAAGTGATATTGTATTGAGTGTTTTGATTCTGCTTTTGTGTATTTATTGCATCAAAGCATACTTGGTCGACTTTTACTTGATAATTTAGTCAAGGTTTTAGTATTTTTTTACATATCCTCTTTGTATCACCATTGTTTTTGGTTTTCAAGATGGCCAAATCTGCTCATAAATGTGGACAACCATATTGCTTATTCCCCGTGGAGGAAGGGATGCAATGTGATGAATGTAAGAAGTGGTTCCACAAGATGTGCACCCGACTAAGCCCCGCTGCATATAAAAGGTGCTCGAATCCCAACTCTCATTGGTTTTGTAGTTTTTGTTGCTCAAACAAAACAACACTCATCCAGGAAGCCATTAGCCTCCCGGTGTTGGCTAATAAGAAGGTTGACGAGGGCTGCACTGACAATATTGGTGCTGATAGCGAAGATCGCGTTAGTGTCGTAAGGGCTGTCACGGCGCAAGTCAGACATCTAACTGCGCAACCCGAGATCAAAATTTTTTCCTCGAAACAATCAATGAGTGACACCTCATTAGATGTTGGTGGCCATGTTGCTACAGCAGCAACTGGTGATCCAAATAAAACAATTATTGTCCCGAGCAGTTCTGATGTAGATGCTACGGCTGACGGAATATGGATGACGCATAAACGCTAAAGAGTAGGAAAGACAGCTAAAACTAATGACCGTTTACTTGATAAGTCTTTGGTGGACTCTCAGACCACTCCGCCAAATTCCTAAAGTAAAGCCTCGTCAAACGTTGTTGTGAGTCACTCGCTCGACTCCAATGACTCTGTTACAATAAAAACTAATCGTAGGATACCAGTAGTTAATATACAGGATGTTAGATCACGATCGATAGCTGTAAACACGATTCCAAAAGAAACTATACCACTCCCTAGCTTAATTATTTGGAATCTAGAGGAGTCGATAGACAACGATCCTGCTAAGAGACATGCACATGATCTGAAGTTAGTAGAATCCGTGGTAAGAAACGTACTACCTGAAGAGGTTTCAGGAGTACATATCACGAAAGTGATACGACTCGGTAAATGGGTTGGAGGCGAGACCCAACCAAGAAGGATCTTGAAGCTGGTTCTAGGGAGTTTTGAAGAAAGAGACATATTATTGAAAAACGCACAAAAAATTCGTGATTCAAATATTCGTATCCGACCAGATTGGCCGCTTGAGGATCGAATCAAGTGGAAGAATGCTCTTACGGAGTTAAGAACTCGCAAGTTAAATGGCGAAACTAACCTTACCATTAAGGGTTTTCAGGTAGTCAGGTCTTGGAAGCCAATGCTTCCGAGGCCTGTATGGGTAGAACGAACGAATACCAAAACACCTTAAGTGTGTGCTACACGAACGCCCGTAGTCTTAGGAATAAAACGTCCGAGCTAAGTCTGATGGTGGATGATTTAAGTCCCGATATAATTGTCATTACAGAAAATTGGTTCACCGTAGATATAGAATGTTCTCCCATCATTGCAGGCTATATCTGTATTAGAAGTGATAGAGTTTTAAGCCGCAAGGGGGGAGGCATAATGTTATACATTAGGGACCACTTTCGTATACAATCAATCATATCGGAGGCTCATGTTAGTGGTACATGTGAGGTAGCATGTTGTAAGATTAAATCTGGAATTGGGTTAGTGGCTATAGGCGGAATATACCGTAGTCCGTGTTGTCTTGCTGACGACTTTATCCTAAGACACATCTGTTCTTGGAGTATGGCAGAATGTTGTCTCATCATTGGGGACTTCAACGCTCCGCACATAAACTGGATAGAGCTTACAGCTCCAGGTGGAGGTTTCTATAGCGAACTTTTATCAACAGTTATTCAGTGTGCACTTGTCCAATGTATCACTAAACCGACACATATTGATCTGAAACGTGATCCGTCACTGCTGGACCTCGCCCTCACCCACCACTGTGAGGATGTCTTTGGTATTCAGCACCTTCCTCCACTAGTGGACAGTGATCACGTTGTGCTTCACTTCAAGTTTAGGACACATAGTATACGATTTGTATCTGCTCCACCCCGTCCCAATATCTGGCGGGCTAATATTCCGGCAATCAGAGACTGTGCTATCTCGACTGATTGGCCGGTTGACGCAGATGGATCGATCGAAGACGAATGGATTAAGTTCAAGGCTACATTCGAGTCCGTAACGTCGCCGTTTATCTCATGGTCAGCACGTAAGCTATCGCATTGCCCTCCATGGATTAATAAGGAAACCCGTAAGCTGTTAAAGCGTAGGAAACACTTCTGGGACTTATTCTTGTTGACAGGTCATGCATCTTTTGAGCGTGAGTACCAAAAACTCCGGAATATTTGTAAGAAAACAATAGCTAAATCCCGTATTACTTACGAACGACAGTTGGTATATGATAGCCGTACTTGTCCGAAACGATTGTTTTCGTATGTTAAACGGCGAACAAAACGTAGTGATAGTATTCCCCCATTATTGTTACACGATAATTCAGATTTACTAGCTGAATCAGATCGAGCGAAAGCTGAGAAATTTTCAAAGTACTTTAGCGAAGTCTACTCTACGTTTATTGTAACAAATACTTGTCCCAATCACGCCGAGATACCAGCCATTGAATCTGTACAGGTGACTGAAGAAACTGTCCTTCCGTTAATAATTAACCTCGAACCTTGTAAGATACCGGGTCCTGACGGGTTACATCCACGACTGCTGTCATCTCTTGCGGACATTATTTCAAAACCGCTCGTGACACTCTTCAACATGTCCCTTTCACTCGCACAACTACCTAGGGATTGGAAAGATGCTATTGTCGGTCCTATATTTAAGGATGGTCAGAGACAGATCGTATCTAACTACCGACCTGTCAGTCTGACTAGCATTGTCGTTAAGTTACTTGAAAAGATAATTCGGGTTGGGTTGCTAAGCCACATAGATTCACACAATCTGTTAGCTCATGAGCAACATGGATTTCGTGATAAGCGTTCATGCTTGACTAACTTACTTATTGCGAGAGAGGATTGGACAGCAGCCTTAGATAAAGGTCTGTCTGTCGATGTTATATTCATAGATTTTAGCAAAGCATTTGACAAGGTTTCACACTCAGGTCTTATGCAGAAGCTCACAAGCTTCGGAATAATAGGTACTGTACAGGAGTGGATAGGCAACTTCTTATGTGACCTCAGACAGAGAGTTAGGGTCAATGGGACGCTATCCGATTGGAAGCCGCTCAAAAGTGGTGTACCCCAAGGCACCATATTAGGTCCTCTGCTATTCCTTCACTACGTAAATGAGTTACCGCTGTTGCTTAAGTCGTCGACATTATTATTTGCGGATGATGTCAAAATCTGAAGAACAATAAGAAGTGAGGCTGATCATCTGGATCTCCAAGCTGGCTTAGACGATTTAGTTAGATGGGCTCGAGGTTTGGGCTTAGAAATCAATTCTAGAAAGAGTGTGCTAATGCACATCCGTCACGGTAATAGTTACCATTATACTATTGATGGTAAACATCTTCTATGCGTTCAAGAACATAAAGATTTAGGAGTAATGATAAGTCATGACCTAAAAACAACTACGCATTGCAACGCAGCCGCTGTCAAAGGTTTTCGTGCGTTGTGGTCACTTCACCGAGCGTTCAAATCCTTTGACGAGGAAATGTTTCGAATTTTATATCCCACCTATGTAAGACCACATTTAGAGTACTGTATTCAAGCAGCTAGCCCATGTCTGATAAAGGATACTACCTCACTTGAGCGTGTCCAGCGTGTGGGAACGAAATTAGTGAAGGGTCTTTCTAAACTCCCTTACGATGAGCGTTTAAAACGCCTAAACCTTTTCCCCTTGTCGTATCGTAGGACTCGAGGTGACCTTATACTGGCATTTCGTATCTTTAATTATGATTTGGGTGCTAAAATGTCTTATCTTTTTGCTCCCTCCAGCACTAATAATCTCCGAGGTCATAGCAAGAAGGTTCATAAACCACGATCTAATAAACTCAAGGTGGGGTTCCGTTTTTCTCATCGAGTAGTCAATGATTGGAACGCTTTGCCCGATCAAGTGGTATCAGCCCCATCAGTGAATATTTTCAAAGAGAAACTGGACCTTCACTGGAAGGCAACCTGTTAGGATTAACACAGGTTCACTAACCTACTATCCTTATTACTGAAGACTGAAGACTTAATCTAACTCGATTACAATGGGGGATATTCAAACTCAAGGTTGTCCTTGGGAAGTGTAAAGCAACAGTAAGAGGCGACTATTTATCAGTTGACTGATTGGGTCATTACGATTAATTTGGCGTTTGCAGTCAACTAATTAGATGAAGAATTTATATGCATCTAATAGGGTGTTTTACTTCAACAGCAACTGCTGTTCCCAATTAACCAATAAAGGCGAAAAAAGGGGAAATAAAGGAGAAACACGCCAAAGTGTCTGTTTTTTCGTCTATCTGGGGGAAATAATGCGGATTTTTCCCCTTTTGTCGCTCTCATCTCTCAAATTTCGCTGAATTGTTTACTTTTGCCTAAATATCCACTGAATTGTTGCTATAGTACTGCATAGTACTATAACGTTATAACCGTCTGATCTGTTTGCGCACTACAAAACTATGGTATGTTTAAGCATTTCTTTACTAACTTCTAGTCCAAACTATCAGCTTTTGTGTACTCCACGCTTGCGTAATTTCTTGCCGGTAATCCAATCTTTCTATAATGGGGAGAATGACGTCATTCTCATTTGTAGTAATACAAATGTTATCCTAGCGGCTCCCACATCGCGCATTATAAACTGGTGCTAGGATTGGTTAGAGAAAGCGAAGGGGTTATCAGTTTATAACACGTTTCCGTAGTATGAAAGGAAGCAGTTTAATACTTGGATCCGTTGGTCCATCACATTTCCTTGGTTGAGATCTTAAACGTGGTCCAACTTTGTTGAGACGTTTTTGTATGATTCAGAATAAAAAACTACCAACTCTGTCGTAATATTTTATTCTACTTTCGACAACAGAGCGATATTTTTCCCAACTGGCCTGCTTCGGTTTGGGCAACCGGGCAGTATCACAGCCCTCACACAAATCAATTGAGATTCGTGTGGCGCATATGTATTTGGTTCCTCCTTGTACCAATACCTATGTGTTAAAATAAATGAAATAATAAATTTCCCAACTGGAGAAAACGTTTTCATTCTTGTGTCTTTAGCTGAACGTTATCTCTTACTGTATGCTATCTTTCAAAATTTATTGATCACACTACTTCCCTCCTTTTTATTTCTCTAAAATATTTTCAATCCTTTTTTCGTGTGGCCCACCTTTTTGTCCAATTGCGCCAGGCTTTTTGCTAGTAAATAAATGTGAACCCTTTTCTTGGTTATTCATCTACAATTTCAGAAAAACACGGTATCTTCATTGTAGTTTGGAATGTTATGATCTGTTGGATAAATATTTTTGGTCAATAGATGTTGAGCAATGATTTGACAATAATAAGCTGTTTCCAAACTATTCGGCATGCTAAGTTTTCCTGCCATTTCTCAAGTGAGCCAAAAGAGGTTGATTTTAAAAAGAAATGTGGGATCTCAGTTACCTTATAAATTTCTGTTGCATATGGTAAATTTTCGAAGAACAAAATTTCAGTCAGCTCTCATAATATTACCGCAGGTATATATGTATTTATTTACTTTATTAATGCGATTGTACGACATTGTTTTATGCTTGAGGTTGTTTGAAGATATTACCTCTCATGAGTTGGGTAGTCAAGTTGAATCGTCAGTTCCCACATTTAACATCAAAAAGCTCTCTTCTGATATCTGCCTAGCTTCATTCTTTTTCTTTCTGCTTCAATCTATTATTTTGTAAAGATATGGCAACTGTTGTGCTAATGAGGTATGGCAACTTTGACCGATGCACATATGTTCGTAGTCCTACGTTGTATCTGACTGATGTTCTTCTTCACTGCTGTCGATGAAAATATAAGAGTGTTAACTGACATCACACTATCGAATGCGTATTAGGACCATCAGCATTCAGATACGTCTAAAAAATGGTGTGTCCTACTCCACCCTCAACTCTCATCAACTATTTAAATCTTCAACAATAATCGCGATGTGCTCTGTTTTTCATAAAAGAAGCTTTGCGAAATTATTACTAAAGTATAGAACTGCTTTCGTTCCTGATGCTTCTTAATTCCTAGTGAGACTATAATTTATGGACGACCATTGAGCGATGCCAGACTGACCTTGAGAGTGTCCACCTGATAACGAGGACCAAATGAGGGTTATAGACCTGTGTGGTGAATTAGAATTATGATTTATAGTTGATAATTAAAGTTAGGAGTTAGATTTACGGTTTTTCATCACGAACTGACATCAGGTATAATGCCAAAACTCCGTTTATCTGAATGAATTAGTGAATTTTGCGCCAAAATCCGAGACCTGTTATCTTATACGTGATCGGTTCGTCCATAACTTATAGTCTCGCCTGATTCCATTCTAATTATCATCCTGTTGAAGGTTATTTATACATAAGTTCGTGTAAAAGTAACACCTTTCCAAGTACATGTCTAGAAGGGACTACATATTTAGTTAAGCGAACCTCCTGGAGGCTTTTCTGTCGTTTGTTGTATAAAATGTATCCATAGTTTGCAGTGTCGTATAAAAACAAATTTTATGGTATATCTTATATCACTTAGTATGTGGATAATATTGCTCCTCTGAACCATTATAATCTAGTTTTCTTGCCGTAAGTTTTTTGTGCTTTAAACTGTGACTGGATACCCGTTTGACCAAGTTGCAATTGTTCTGTATTTTGTTTTTTTAAAGACAAATAAAGCATAGTTACATCTTTTGAAAACTTACATGTTTGTACATTGACCATGCGCCACATTTTTGTTTCCTTTTCTGATTGCAACAGCCTTCTTGATATAAAATGTAAGATGCTTCATTTCCCCTTTCACTTGTTGCATGATTTGATTCATAATAATGTAAGCACCTAAAGTGATCGTGTTCTGTAATTGCGAATGTAAGTGATTCTTGTGAGATTATTTGATGTATGGGTTGTGAGGGTTGATCTGATATATATACTGTAGACTCTGATTCATTTTGTATTACTGAAATTAGAGGTTCTGGACTTGGAATTGAGGAATTCCTTGGGAATTCCTACTGATATTGCATAACTGTATTTAAATTTTCAGTAACTTCAGGTTTATATCCACGTCATTGCTTCCGATCGTTGTGTTGTTGCATGAACTGAGATTTTCGTCTCTATTGCATTCTTCATTGTGAACTGTATTAGGTTGTAAGTCATTAACATGTAAGTTGTGATCAGATTTCGATTCATTTGGAAGCATTTTGGTCTGCGACTTCACTAACTTGGTGAATAATAAGTTCTACCCATCTATAATAGTAAGGATTTTAAAAACTGATTTTCATCTTATCCTCGTCACCACCGTTATGGATGAGATTTTCGATAATTAACGATTGTCAAAATAAATGGATAAAATGCCGGTCGATAGGTGACCCCAACAATATGTTGGGGTCGAGTGATGGGTCCTCACAAAACCATATTGTCGACTTAAGTTTCTGAATAGTTCAAAATCGAAAAAAATATCGCTAGTCAGGTGAACAGGTTTTTATGGAATAAAATAGAATGCTTCTATGATGAGTATGAACGCAAAACAAACATGATCGAATGTTATAGGCGATTGGGAGAAATTTATTTATTTATTTATTTGAACACATACATATTGGTACAGGGGGACACCAAATATATATGCGCCACACAAAACAATGATAATTTGAAGAGAAGGAGAAAAGAGAGAAAAAAAGTAATGAACGTGGGGAATTATAAAAAAATGGAGAGAGAGAGAACAATGGTGGGGGAAACGGAAAGGTACAATCAGAAGAGATCTTTCAATTAAGGAAGATACAACCACTTTTTATGAAGAAAGTAAGAGGTTACAGCACGATCGCCACTGGCTTCTATTCTTAGCCATATCTGATAACGTCTCTAGCCACTGCGTTACACCATCTCTCGGACCCCAACCAGGGAGTCGTGAAGGGCCAACAGAAGCTAGTCCTTTGCAGCTTTCTTTCATACCACGACACCATGTCATGTACTGACCACCTCTCCGCTTTTTCCAACCAGTCCCAGAGTCGGCAAATAATGCACGACGTGGAATTCTCTGGGATGACATTCGTAGAACATGTCCAAGCCACCGAGGTCGGTGTTTCAAGATGGTGACACCAATTGCATTATCGTCTCTGTGACCGAACACACGATGCCTAACCTCTGCATTACTAACATGTTGTTGCCACTGGATGTCAGCAATCCTTCGGAGACAGCGATGATCGAACACAGAGAGTTGTCTAACATCCTCAGATCGGAGAGGCCAGGTTTCACAAGCATAGAGAAAAACTGCTCTCACCGTCACGTTGTAGATCCGACCTTTTACAGCCAGACTAACATCACGAAGGCACCAAAAATGGCCCAGATTGGCATAAGCCGCTCTGGCTTTCACTATACGTGCATTGATCTCATCACTCACACCACCACCAGCACTTATGCAGCTACCCAGATACACGAACTTCTCGACTACTTCTATCTGCTCACCATCCAGAGTGAGTACAGGATTAGAATCCTGCCAGTCTTGTAGAAGTACTTTGCACTTTGAAGGTGCGAAGCACATACCATACCTGCGGACATTGATTGCCAACTGATTAAGTGCGGATTGCATGGCTTGGGCATTATCGCACAGTAAGACAATATCATCCACATACTCAAGGTCGAGAAGTCTTTCTCCAGGCAACAGATCCACACCACCATTACTTACATCCATCAGAGCTGTTTCCAGAATGTCATCGATGGCAAAGTTGAAGAGGAATGGTGAGATTGGGCAACCCTGCCTAACCCCACTGCTCGAATGGAATAGTGGAGAAAGGTGATTGTATGCCCTCACTCTGCCTGAGGTGTTTGTGTATAGGGCTTTTAGGATGTTGGGAGAAATCAGCTGATAGATCATTCATTCTCTAGTCAATTAAGAATTGATTGTTTTTTACAAAAATTCCAGATTAGGGACATCATTGAAACCAATTAACTTGTTGACTTTGAGTACTAGGTAAGTGCGCATTGGTAATTTTGTTCACTTTTCCCCGCTGTGTTGCAGTAGCGTGGCAATCGGAACTGATGTACATTTGTATCAGGTCCTAAGGTTTTTATAGGTGAATAACCGAATTGGAGCATTTTACTAGCAAAGCTAGTTACTTAATAAGTATCTGATAAATACTCTTCAGTGATAGTTCTTAGATCGATTCATTTTTTAAACAAAAGCAAACTAATAAACAGCCTATTACTTCTCAAAAACCTTTGCTTATATTACTAAAACCTTTCTTGTAAAAATCTTTCTCTCTAGCTATAGATTAAATTTCAAGATGTGTTTAATAAAGCGTGAACTTAAGAATTGTGTGGGTTATCTTAAGAAACGCAACGATGTTATTTTCCTCGGAACAAAAACGAATCCTACTGTTAATTTGGTTTATTTTGGAGGCGATGTACAGGTAAGTTTTATGAATGCATAAAATGTGTTTCGACTAGTTATTTTTATTCTGGATATCGATTTTAATCATACCATTCAGACGTAGCTTATCTGTTATTAACATAATATATATATCGATTTCTACCCCATAAAAGTAATTAATGTGGTATATTTCAATCAAATAAAACTAAATAACTGAATTAAAATTAAACCTTATGGGTCAGTAAATGTATTGTTTTTTAACTCCTGTGCCTTTACTCATAAACAACAGAAAACGCTATCAGAAAAGACCTATGGAATAAAAAGGATGGAAATGAATGTGAAATAAAATTAATTAAAAAGTCATGAGGTTCTTAATACTAAGAGAAGGATAAAATGTGTATGCCTGTTTTTCTTCCTTGGATTTATTCCGTCTAACACTTTCTATTTGTTGTCCAAAACATGGACATACAGAAGGTACGTCTATACACCAGGACCGTTTGAGAAGTATGCTGAATTAATAATAGAAAAAAACAAGAAATAGAAAGTTAAGATAAGGAAAATAGTTTGAAACGAAAAATAAACTAGAAATAGGCGTTGTACCGTCCGTAGTAAAATAAAATGTGGGTTTGTGTATGTATTTGTGACTGAATATGAATTGGCTATCTCTTGCAAAATCTGACGAAGAAAGGTGATCATCCACACATCAAATAGGTTGATGCCATGGAACTATAAGGACTATTATTATTATGGTTTTATTCAATATTATATTTTTAGCACAATGTAGAATAATTATGTGGTCGATGCAGCCACGACCAGGTCTGAAGTCAGCCTGATTTTCTCGTGTTTGTAGTTCACGAGTCATTGTCTAGTTTCAGTACTAGAAGGTAAAGTAGTATATTATACAAACAACTAGGATCTCATGACAATAATGTGCCAGATCGTATATTAGTTATAACCAACTGAATTGATGTAATTTTACTCTGTGAGATAAGTGATTATTAAAGTCTTATGTATTCTTTATTGTGAAGTAACTTAAGTAAACCAAATGATACATTTCCATTCTTTTCTTTTTTTAACTTCGGGCTCCTTCAGATCTATTTAAAAAGTCAGATTCAAGTTTTTCTCTGACACATTTTTAAGGAAGCTATTCGACTTGATACGGAAACGGAATGGATATTTTTTTCTTAATTTACGTTTGACTTGCCAGTTTTTAAATACTGAATCAACCAGTTTCTTGCTGAATAATTAGTGTGAATCAACATGAAGCCAAGTCACGTTATGGATGGCATTGATCAACAGAATGTACCCCCTATTTCCTATAAACACATATATGTGTAATTTTTTGGTTCATATTCATCCTAATCTTAGTGTTACTGTGGTCATTTTCAGGAATAATGAAGTGTGATTGACGCCACTATGTTTTTGTACTAGAATGAAAAAGCTTTCCACAAAAGTGTAGAGAAAATGTTTTGTATTAATGATATTCAAGACAGGATAAATTTGATTTTTCTGGCAGATTTTTGTCTCTACACTCCTACGTTTTCCTTTTGAAAAAAAGTAACTATACTTCCATGTTAAAATCATCTTTAATGCTAATGCAGGGCAGTTTTATTCTACTTATTATTTTTAGGATTACGAATATAATATGAGTCAAAATAATTTTAATAATCAGTATATTAGATGGAATTTGGAAAATACTGCCCAAAACTTGTATGTAAGATTTACCAATCACTTTCGTGACTGTAATCCCCATGTGTGGATTATTCGTGCTTCACATTGGATATCTAATTCAATAGCTTGTTATGTTAATTTCATGCCTTTTACGAAATCTGGTGTGCCATTATTTGAAAATGACGATATCTGTAAAATGACAGGAATGATGCATTTAAGTTGTTTGCTGTCAAATGCAGTTAAAAAGTTGTTAAATTGTGAAGCGAGTATACAGTGTCAAATATCTACTATCCCTATACGACTGATTGGTTTTAGCAAAGGATGTTGTGTTTTGACAGAGATATTATATGAACTATCAGTATTATCCCACTCCAAAAAATTACCTAATGATTCTGTTAAAGATGTTCCTGCACAAGTATTGGAACTTTCTCAAATTATAACAGACCTTTATTGGCTTGATTCTGGACATTCAGGTACACATCATCAGTGGCCAGTTTCGCTTAACTACCTATCTTTGCTGAACCCCGTTTCATGTCCCAGAATACATGTTCATGCATCTCCCTATCAGGTATTTAGTTATTAACTGATATATTTTGATTATTATCCCTTTATTACTTTATTTATTGTCCAAAGTACAAATTTTTTGTACAAGTGAGAAAAGTTTTCTTTAGAGTCATGATATATTCAAGTTATCGTACCAGCAATAGTTTAAAAGAATAGGGGAATAGGTGGGCATAGAATGAAAGATGTTAAATGATATACTGTCCAAATTTAGATAAATGTTATTCTCGTATGGTATTTCGTAAAGCAAGTGTGGTTAATAAAGTACGAATAAGTTTTCGGAAGAAAATATATGGAGTGAGCTTGAAACTCAAAATCAAGTTAGAGATAAGGAAGAAATGGATGTGCAGCTAATTTTTAGCTGTGTTACCTGGGATGTCTAACTATTTGTCGCGATCACCGCCCAGATGCTAATCAGATAATCTGAGCCTACCAACACAATTCAGACTAACAATCAATGACTTTGTTGATGATGCTAGTCTGAGATGTATGGAAATACTCATATATTTATCTTCAGACAGCTTTATTTTCGTATGAATGAAACATTAGTAGTCGTTCTTCAAATGCCTATGCATAGGTCTTTCATACTATCCTGTAGAAATTCATAATGTGCTAAAGCTATCATTTTGTATTTTACATAACATACAGATAATGAACCAGCTAAAACCTCAAAAATCTATCGATTTTTATAAATTTCTGGATATTTTATCTCATTTAAATTTGCCTTTTAAAAAGCAATTGCATTTTATGCCTGTTGATGATGAAAATTCAGAGTCACAGTCTACCGATTTGAGATCGAAAAATGAGATGAACTGTTCACTAGACTATCATTTCGAGATTTTGAACCACTTTATGTTTTGAATTATACTTTTTGAAGTATTCTCTATGCACCGTTTGGTTAACGTTATTTTTAAAAATGTGAATATCTTGATTAAGAAGTTATATTTTCCTCCTTATTGACATCCTTCTTTTCACTGAAACTAATGAATGAACTTGTACCTTCATCAGTCATTTTTTAATCTCTTACCAATGACCTATTCTAGATTTTATGGCATTCATTTGATTCGTTATAGTTCGCCTATAAAGATATCTTGTTTTAATCGTTCTAATTACCTTGTTTCAATTGTTTGTTTAGACTGCTAAACAGCCTTTTTTGATCCTTCTGGGTTTTCTTATATTCATTGTGTCCGATTGATTTCCTAACACAAAGAGATAATTTAAGGGTTGCTAGTTTAATGTCCGATTTATATTTACAGTTCTTTTTATTAAAGCTTTGGGATTTCAACTGAATTGAGCGTCGGTACATTGTATTTGAGTTCTGAGTTTCTCAAATATCATTTCATTTGGTCTTGCTAGCAGGAAATTAATTATTTGTGAACATACTTTTTAAACTATGAGGTACTTGTTTTCATTATATCTAATTTAAATAGCACAAATGTTTTGTCTTCTGTTATGGAATAGTTATCATTACTAAACTAGACTTATATCCTTATTTAGGGACTGCTCACTCCACCTATTTCGATTCATGTAACCGAGTACTACCTCTAGCCTTCGCTAAATAAGTTTTAATCAGCGCCTTACAACTCATTGAAGCCCGTCGGTCTACCCCGTGTAACTGTGAGTTTGACCACAAAGCTTGCGTAAGGACCGAGAAGCCTGGTGGTCGGAGCGTGCTAATGAGCAGGAAGTAGCAGTCGCATCGGGTAACTACTGGAAACTCTTCCAACTCATCCGAGCCACTGGCAGCAAGAAGTCTGATATGAGCGAAACAATCTGCAAGGATGACGGAACGCCAGTCACTAACATCCGTCGACGTCTTGGACGATGGGCAGAATTCTTTGAAGGGCAGTTCAACTGGAATGCTGCCCCGGCAACATCGGTCAGACTGTCCTGCTCTCCATGACCGGTGACGACTGATCCACCAAATGAGGCGGAAGTCCTCAAGGAACTCCAACTCTTGAAACTTCACAAATCACCGGGCCCTGACGACTTACCTCCGGCTCTTTTTAAAGATGGTGGTGACTTTCTGACTAAGGAACTGACTACGTTTTTTACAACCCGAGCGTAGCTGCTACCTTGACGTGGTGGTCGGGCATGCCTATCGTGATGACTCAATCGAGCTATATTAGCTGGAACACATGTTCCTGCAGGTTCTACCATGCTAGGCATGTCGATTGGAGAACGGTAAGACTAAAAGCAGCGACTCAAGGTCTAAGGGTGAAGTCGTACTGCTGACTGTACAGAGATGTGACAGCAGTAAGGTGTTTCCCTCGGACAACCAGCATCTTCAGCAATGCTGCCTTCTCACAAGGAAGGAAGGGGTTAGAAAAGGTTGACCCTAAAAATGTCACACCTCACCTCACCCTACGGATTTCCGTCTCCGGCGGTAAGGCCGTTTGAAGAACGGAGATAACACATTACAAACCTCCCACAAAAAGACCGTGCGCGACCGGCCTTAAGCAGTTGTCCCTTGGGCTCTGCGGCCACGCTCCCAGGTCGTTAGGACCAACACTAGTCCGATTTCCTTTTCAGGTTCCTCCAGAAATACCCTTCCACGGTGTGGGCAGCCAGGAAGTGACATCAGCCCTCATACCCGTAACAACACACGAGAACAAGTTGGTCACATTCAAGTCCTTCCCACACCTCCTAACAACTCTCTTATCTCCACGACCAACCCTTTTCACGTCCCTTTATCACCTCGCCCCACTAGTGCGAACGATTCGAGTACGCGGAACGTTATTCCTGGTCTCCTGAAACCACGCTCAAAACTACACGTAAGAGCTTTCAACGTCCGAACACTGTGCCAAATAGGATGACAGGCTTCCTTATCTAAGACTTTAGAATCTCGCGCCATCCACCTATGCTGCGTCTCCGAAACGCGCATACAGGATCCGAGTAGTGTCATTCATTTGACCTCACCATGTGAAAGTAACAAACCAACTCGATTTACGCTTCGTGTATCTGGAAGCCCTGATGCTGCTTCCCGTGGCCTCGCTGGCGTAGGTATAGCATTGAGTCCTAGGGCAGAACTAGCTCTCTTAGACTGGATCCCAGTAGACAGTCGTTTGTGTGCTGTCCGACTAAACGGAACAGTAAGGACTCGGAAAGATAGGGACACTCGTCGTTGCCTCTTTGTCGTCTCTGCCTACTCTCCCACTGACTGAAGCTCAGATGATGTAAAAGATGAGTTTTACAGAAAGCTTTCCGACCTTCTCCGAAAAGCTAGGCGTTCGGATGTAGTAATAGTGGCTGGTGAATTTAATGCTCAAGTAGGTAAACTAAGCGAAAGGGAAAGACACCTGGGTGGATCTTGTGGTGTTGCGGTTCAAGGAACAGATAATGGCGACCGTCTGTTGCAGCTATGCTCAGATAACCGCCTGTTTCTTGCAAACACTAACTATTTGTGGAACAACCAGAAAAACAGTTAGGCAGCCATGTAAGTGATGCGAAACAATCACAGAGAAAGATGGACATATTATTTATTCTCAATCCAGGAGATTGGATCGATGGGCAGAAGAGTTTAGGGATCAGTTCAACTGGCCTTCAGCCACACTTTGGTTTCCCACGATCTCCAATCTACCTGAATGGAAAATTAATGTAAGTCCTCCGACTCTTTACGAAGTTGAAAAAGCTATAGGAAATCTGAAGCGTGGGAGAGCAGCAGGCCCTGACAAGTTTACCCCAGAGATTTTTAAGGATGGCGGTCCAGTATTAGCAGCGAGACTGACTGAGGTCCTATGTAGAATCTAGGAACTGGACGTAATCCCATTTGACTGGTCTCAATCACTGATTGTGCCAGTGTATAAGAAAGGACAAAAGTCTTTTTGTGACAATCACAGAGGAATTAGTTTGACTAATATAGTGTCTAAAATATTAGCTACAATAATACTTCGACGCCTGACCAAAGCTCGTGAAGAGCAGACTAGAGAAAACCAGGCTGGTTTTCGACCTGGACGTGGTTGTATAGACCAGATTTTCACACTACGTCAGGTGCTAGACCATAGAAACACATTCAGACGTCCCACAATGGTAGTATTTCTCGAGCTTAAGGCGGCATTTGACTCTGTTGATCGTGAGGTTCTATGGCAGTGTTTGTCACTGAAAGGAGTACCAAAGAAGTACATTAACCTTATAAAGGCTCTCTACTCGAACACAACTGGTCGAGTGAGAGCTTATGGCGAACTGTCATCAGAACTGAATAACTCAAGTGGTGATCATCAGGGTTGTCCACTCTCTCCATTCTTGTCTAACTTTGTCGTTGACGTCCTTTTAGAGATGACACTTTCCTCATCTGAATTTCCAGGGGTTGAACTTCTACCCAAAGATTCATTTGTTGACTTAGAATATGCCGATGACATATGTCTATTTGGTGAAGACGCTGACAAAATGCATAGTCTGTTGACCACTCTAAGCAACAATGCAAGCATATTCGGCATGCGATTTTCTCCCTCGAAATGCAAAATATTGCTTCAGGATTGGGTTGCACCGCCTCCGGAACTAGTGATAGAGAGTGAAGTAGTTGAGCGTGTCGACCGCCTCACTTATGTTGGTAGTCTCATCAGCCCTTTTGGTCTGGTGTGTGACGAAATCTCAGCACAGATATAGAAGGCTCGACTAGCTTTTGCCAACTTGCGTCATTTGTGGCGTAGGCGAGATATCCGTCTATCAACGGAAGGACGTGTTTACTACACAGCAGTTCGTTCCGTCCTACTTTATGGCAGTGAAACATGGCCGGTAAGAGTAGAGGATATTCGTAGGTTACTAGTATTTGATCATAGGTGTCTTCAAAACATTGCTCGTATATCCTGGGACCACCGAGTAAGTAGCTCAGTTGTTAGGAAACGGGTACCAGGTAAGAATGACAAATCAATTGATGAAGTAGTGAAACTTCATCAGTTGAGATGGCTGGGACATGTGTTACGTATATCTAACGACCGACTTCCCTGACGTGAGATGTTTTATGATGTAGGATTAGGTTGGAAGAAAGCTAGGTGCGGCCAGACCAAAACATGGCACAAATCCATGAAGTCACTGATAAGTGGACTGAGCCATGTTAGTAAGTGTAGACTACCTGGTTGGGGACCGCGAGATGATAGCAACCGATGGTTAGAGATCTTGAATGACATGGCTCAAAATCGTTTGCAATGGCGCAGGTGCATCCACTCTCTGTGTTCTCTCAAACTCTAATCTTCTGAATTCTCCATGTCCTTTATTTTCTTCCCAAATTTATTTCAATGGATTATACTCCTTAAATAACTTCATCAAACCCTAATGTTCCCTATCACTACTTATACTTTCACTACATCTACCACTATGGGATTTGAATCAATAACTGAATATTTGTGCTAATGTGGTATGGCAACTCGAACTGATGTGCGTACGTACGAAGTTCCAGTTAGTGGTCGCATAAATGCTGTAGGTGGCGTGAGTGATGAGATCAATGCACGTATAGTGAAAGCCAGAGCGGCTTATGCCAATCTGGGCCATTTTTGTGCCTTCGTGATGTTAGTCTGGCTGTAAAAGGTCGGATCTACAACGTGACGGTGAGAGCAGTTTTTCTCTATGCTTGTGAAACCTGGCCTCTCCGATCTGAGGATGTTAGACAACTCTCTGTGTTCGATCATCGCTGTCTCCGAAGGATTGCTGGCATCCAGTGGCAACACTATGTCAGTAATGCAGAGGTTAGGCATCGTGTGTTCGGTCACAGAGACGATAATGCAATTGGTGTCACCATCTTGAAACACCGACCTCGGTGGCTTGGACATGTTCTACGAATGTCATCCCAGAGAATTCCACGTCGTGCATTATTTGCCGACTCTGGGACTGGTTGGAAAAAGCGGAGAGGTGGTCAGTACATGACA